TTGCATTAATTCAATATATCCTTCAGGCGCATTTGTGATAATAGGAGGACGAATTCCATCACAAATTTTAATAATAAGATCTGTATCATAATTTTGATTCCAAAAAGGTCTTCTACCAGTCATTAATTCCCACATAATCATACCAAAGCTATAAACATCTGAAGATTTAGTATATTTATTGCTTTTCGATCCTTGAAATACTTCTGGAGCAATATAAGGAATAATCCCATAATACTCATTTTCATTATCTGATGATTCAGTTAATGATTTACTAATTCCTAAATCACTTATCACCACATCATGTTCATTATTACAAAGAATATTTCCACTATGAAAATCTCGATGAATAATTTGGGTATCATGAATATTATTAAGTGCATAGCTAATGTTTTGTAATATTATTAATTTCTTATCCCATTTAATAATATTAAAGTTTTTAATTATATAATTTTTCAAATCATATTTATAATATTTCATAATTATAACAAAATCTTTTGTTAAAAGATTTTGAGTAATTCCATAATATCTATTTAAACTAACTAAAGATGAACTAACTCCATTATTTAAATTAGCATTATAAATCATCAAAAGCTAAATTTATAAAGGATATTAATATGGAAATTTTTTATAAATTACTAAATTAATTAAATATTATACCTCATTTAATTCTTTCATAGTAATATTGTTAGAATTATTAAGTTGTTTTAAAGCAACTATCATATTAAGATTATTATATTCAAAATTTTCTTTTTCTTTATTCCAATATGGTAAACCATTAATCCAAATAGCTTTATAAACTTTACTAAATCCTCCTTCACCAATTAAGTTTATATTTTGAAATTGACTAAAAGGAATAAACAACATTCTACAAGATTCTTGAATAAAATCAATCTGTGTATGTTTAATAAATTTATCAACAATATCATTTCCACTTGGTATAAATAATAATTTAGATTGATAACAAAATGTACAAATACAAATTTTATAATGAACTTGCAAAGGTTTTCTTTTTTTAAAACAACTGTTACATATATTATAATTATTATTTTCCAAATTATTTATATATTCAATTGATGTAATTTTTTTAATAGATTCTTTTATATAAGGATCTTGCAATAAATTTTCATTTTTAGCAGCTTTTTGATACCAATAAAAAGCCTTTTCTAAGTTTATTTCTATTCCTTTACCATTTTCATAACATAATGCTAAATTAAACATTGAGGCTGCATTACCATTTTCAGCAGCTTTTTGATACCAATAAAAAGCCTTTTCTAAGTTTATTTCTGTTCCTTTACCATTTTCATAATAATATGCTAAATTATTCATTGCATCCTTATTTTCATTTTTAGCAGCTTTTTGATACCAATAAAAAGCCTTTTCTAAGTTTATTTCTGTTCCTTTACTATTTTCATAACAATATGCTAAATTATTCATTGCATCCTTATTTTCATTTTTAGCAGCTTCTTGATGCCAATAAAAAACCTTTTCTAAGTTTATTTCTGTTCCTTTACCATATATATAACATAATGCTAAATTATTTATTCCAGTTATATTACCATATTCAGCAGCTTTTTGATACCAATAAAAAGCTTTTTCTAAGTTTATTTCTGTTCCTTTACTATATTCATAACATAATGCTAAATTATTCATTGCATCCTTATTTTCATTTTCAGCAGCTTCTTGATACCAATAAAAAGCATTTTCTAAGTTTATTTCTGTTCCTTTACCATTTTCATAACAATATGCTAAATTATTCATTGCATCCTTATCTTCATTTTTAGCAGCTTCTTGATATCTATAAAAAGCCATTTTTAAGTTTATTTCTATTATTTTATCATTTTCATAACATAATGGTAAATTAAATTTTGCAGCATTTTGATACCAATAAAAAACCATTTCTAAGTTTATTTTTGTTCCTTCAACATAATCATAACATGTTAGTAAATTATCCATTGCGGCTGCATGACCATTTATAGCAGCTATTTTATACCAATAAAGAGCAATTTTTAAGTTTATCTCTGTTACTCCACCATTATTATAACATGATGCTAAATTAAACATTGCAGTTGTATGACCTTTTCCAGCAGCTTTTTGATAACAGATAAATGCAAAATCTTTATTGATTGCAGTTTCAAATCCTTTTTCATAGCATTTACCTAAATATAGTTGTGCAATGGGAAAATTATCTGCTGTTTTTAAGAAACTAATAAATCCTTCACCATTATTTTCTTTTAAATCGAGTATATTGTAATAAGAAAAAACTCCAAGAAAAAAAACATTTATTGGTTCATTTTGATTTTCTTTAAGCCATTTATATATTTCATTAGTTGCTTGAGAAGTAAGAGCAATGCAATTATTAATAAATTGCTTCGTTTTTTTAAATTCTAAAGACTGTTTTTTATTCAAAAGTGTGAATAATGTACTAATTGAAATATTAATATTATCTGTTGAATTAATCATTTCTGAAATATATAAGCATTCGTCATTTTTTGTTTTTGCTTTTGACATGATTGTTGAGATAAATAAAAGAAATTTAAAGATAGAAAAAATTTCGTCGCCTAAAATCCTTTCTTAAGATAAGTTTTGCACAATTCTAAAAAGGGTAAATAAAACTTTACTCCGTAATGCATCATGCAATGTACGACAGATTTGTTATAAATGCATGAATATTTGTGTTAGTTGCCTCTAATGGAATTATTACATTTTTAAAGATGAAATTATTCGTTTCCTCATTTGCTCTTTGGTTAGTCTTTTGGGAACTTCTTTTTTTTTACCATATGACAAATTTTTGCTGTAAATTACTCGCATTAAGATATTAAAACGAAATACACGTTGACAACTTGTTTTAATCTTAAAAATATTAGCTGAAAAAATGCAATAATTGATCATCTGCAGATCATATAGCCACATTACCCTTTAGGGATAATCATATTCTCGATTCGATGGAAATTTGCTTAATAACAGGCCTGTTCAATTACGAGTGGTCGGTTTATGAATTTATTGTATCACCCAATAGAAAAATTTTGAAAATTGAACACGTATGGTTTATTTTAGGTTATTGGTTTATTATTTAATTTTTAATGTTAAAAAAAGGAGGGCGTGTATAAACAGCGCGAAGCAAACACTTCCAAAAATTCATAATATTTTTTAATTTTGCTTCCTATCCGTCTCCATTTTTTGATGTTGAACTTTATACTCAAAATTATGGATTTGGTTTGCATTGGCCAGTCATGTATACCTAATAAAGTTAAATATAAAGACTAAAATAAAAATAAATGTTGATTATAAAACCTTATAAAATAAATACAATAAACGATAACTTTTCAAATAATAAAAATTTTGATTCGATTAGCTTAATCCACCACTCTGCGAAATGTACAGTATAATTTACCCGTTTCATGTTAAATTATACCAAAATCAATAACATTCTTGCAATAGTTCATCTCATCAGCGAAATCTATAAATGGAATTCATTTTTGAATAAATAAAAAAATAAATCGAAGGTTATCGAAATTATTTGCCGATAAAAATATATTAGTTATTTGTTGTTGTAAGAATTATGAAATGGTTAATGTGAAGCAAGAAATTTGGTATTATGAAACGCTAATTTTGTGGATATTTTAAGAAATATGAAAAGGCATAAGGGTTGAATCGTTCCTGGTAAGAACGATTTTGGACCGGGTAATGGGACTGGTCCTGCGGACCTCAGTCCATATTCTAATAACCCGTTTAGAACATATATGATAAGTGTAAGAAAAATTTAATTAAAGCTAGGAAATAGAATAAAATTATCGACCAATTTATAATAAATTGTAATTAATATATAAAGAATGCTGACAAGCTGACACATTGGTTTGATTTTATAGGTGCGGGGCAAAACCCTAAACCCATTTTGGCAAAAGTCGAAACTTTTCAGAAATTATTTCAGACAGTTTCGATGGGTTTCGATGGAGCTCGAACGACAGTTTCGATGACAACTTTGCGAATTTGACAGTTAACAGATTTATTAGATTTATTCTAATACAATGTAGAATATAAAAACGATTTTTGAATTTTTTACTTTTTATTTTAAATTAGAACAAAGTTTTCAAAATAATACATTATTTATTGAGCAGGTTTTAAATTTGGAAGCACTGGTACTTGTTGAAGAATTAGAAAAAATTACCTTATGAAGATGATGATAGAGGTTGAAACCGGGTTTATTTTTTATATCCGGATTTATTTAATTTTAAAAATCCGAAATCGTAAATTTTTTGATTTTTTTTTTATCTAAAAATATATGATGCTATATACGATTTGCTCATCTCGTTAAACGAAATAATAAATTTTTTAATTCAAAATTTGTATTTTAGTATCAGAAGGTTTCGATGGGTTTTGCCATCCGTCGAAACTTTTGCAATTTTGCCTTTAATAAATATATTTGGCAAAACGTTTCGATGGGTTTCGATTTCGATGCCTGTCGAAACCTCCGGGTTTTGCCCGGCAACCTTATTTGATTTTCAAAAAAAAATTCTTGATCATACTAATTGCTTTACGCTAGCAATCAGCTTAATTTAATATATAGGAAACAAAAATCAAATACTTGCCCGATTCGACGCTGCGCCAGACACTGAAAAATCCACCTAAAAATCAGCTTTATTTTAAATTTTTTAAACAAAAATTAGCAAGATCTGCGTTAATTTTGTTGGAACACAGAGTACTACCAGAAAAGCTTGCTTTCCACAAAAAAAAAATGTATTATATCTTTACTAATTTTTAAAGAAGTAGAAGGCGGATAGCACTTAAATTTTTTGATGATAAAGTATAATGGAATTTAAATATTACCTAAAATTTTTTAAAAGGTTCCCTCTATCATTGTAATAACTTTGAAACAACATTTAATTAATACCTTAATAAATTTAAAAATAGTTTGTATAATTTGTAAGGCAATAACAGCAAGGATTATAACAACATTCGATAAATAACTTGCTGGGATAAGAGACTTAGAAGGATAACTCCGTATGGCACCTTGCAAAGAGGTAGTCTACATTTAAATTTTAATTTCGATGCAAAAAAAATTATTTTGTAATCCTTTTCATTTTATTTTATTATTTTATTTTTTTGGCTATAGCAGAAACCGGAGAATTCATATGAAGAAAAATTGCAACAGTCGAGAAAGAATAGGCGTTGGACAGCTATATACGGAGTTGCCGAACCTTATCGAAAGACAATCATGCTGAATTCGAATCGAAGCAGCAACCGTAACAACAGCTACTGATGTACATAATAATAACTTGATATTCAGTACTCTCGCAGTTAGTGTTAAGAGATTTAGAAACAAATCTTAGCAGTGTAAAAGGTCGTTTAAAGTGATGTTTGGGAAGATAAATGGGTTAAAATGTAAACTACATTTTAATTTAATTTTAAACTCCATTAAAAATGCATCTATAAAAAAAGATCAACATTTTATTTTTTGGGTCACATGAATGAAAATACTGGACGACTTTGCAAAATGGATTAATGCTATTCAGAGCCATTTTCAGGTAATAGCTACAGATAATTATTTCATACTTTTGTGAAACAGGACATGAAATAATTTGAACGCGAATAATCAATTATTAGTTAAAAAATATTTTATTTATCAAAAGTAATCAAGAAAAAAATATACCCTAGCGCAATTTACATTTTATGTTAATTAGATATCTAATTCAGCTTCATCCCAAAATATATTCTATTTTAGGAATTAAATCAATTCAAAAATTAGGATCGATTTTTTTTATGACAAGCAACTAAAATTTTATTTGTTATTTACCAAAAAAAAAAAAATAGATTTACTTTCTTTCAATATGGTTGGTTTTTTTTTGTCCTCACCTATTTCGGGTCACTGTAATGAATATTTATTGCTATTATTATTTTTTTTATTTGTTATCATGACGTTTTACAGGTTCGGTCGCATTGATTAAATAAATCTCGATATATTCGATTTTTCTTTCTTCATTTAATTTTACTAAATTTTTTTTGCTAGGGTTACTCCTATTTCGGCTTTGGGTTGCGTTGATTCGATAAGTATTTCAGGCTCGATCGTTTCAGGCGCAGCGATCGAACATTTTTATCCATCAGCCCTTTAGCTAGATTTAGGTCCTTGTTGAATCGCTTCTGGAAATATTAGTTAGGTAAAGTGATTTTCCTTATTTTTTTTTTATTTTATCTTTTTATTGGTATCGAATAATGCTGTGACAACGGGACGATAGCAAATTGTTAAATTACACCTCAGGGCCTTCCTAGTTATATATATTTAAGATTAATAATTAATTGGCAAACTCCGGATCGAGTTAAACATTTGGTATCAACTTTAAAAATCACGAAATTTAAAATTTTGAAACATATGCGGATTCTAATGTACTCTTTTCCTATTTTTTCATTATAAATCACTTAACCTAACTTTTGTTGAGATTTTGAAATAATGAACCAATTAATTATTGTACAAAACGAACCTACTTTCATATAAAGTAAATTAATAACAAGTAAACCAATAGGATAATTTCATGGTCGTTACAATTTCTCATCAAGGTGTGATCTCGATAAAGTTTGATGGAAAAAAATATTATAAAAACAATTATTATAATACGTTGGAAATTACATACTGATGAGGATTTATTTTCTATTCTGATTTTAAAAAAATGTGTTTATAGAAATTCGAATACCTGGTCTTATTGTGTAATCTTTACTTACGGTGAATTTACAAATTGCATCAAACAATTTAGCTCTTGGAATTGTGAGAACTTGTTTTGTTAGTAGTAAAAGAATAAAATGAAAATAGGATATAGCAAGCTAAAAAATATTAAGGGCAACAAAGATTATGGTCTCTACATTGGGAATAAGTGTTTAACATTATGATAGATTCAAATCCGGATAGAGAATGTTATTTATCAATCAAAACGGTTAGCTGGTTAATGAGGACGATGAATTAAAAAAAATCTGAAATCAAGATGAGAAAGTAATCAAGCGCAAGATCTAATTAAGAATATCATTACAGTGTATCTTATATAAAGGAAATATATTGAAATATTTGTTGCACTAGGGAGTCAAGCATTCCAAGATAATGACAAAGGAGGTGAACTCATGGCAGAAAATTAATAAAAAAGGATTATCCTTCTTCGAAGTTTTTATTTTGGGCATTATTTTGATTTAAGGAGGTAATTGTGCTTAAATTCTAACGCAAGTAGTTTTATTCATTTCGATCTTTCGACTTTTGTCTAAACAACTAAACAAAAACTAAAAAAAAATCAAAATCTATTCAATTTTTATTTTAGAAAATCGTCATTATTTCGCAAATGAGAAATGGTAGTTTAATAATTGAGAAACATTTTACAGCTTTCCAATATAAACTGTCACACATTTAACTTTGTAATCAACTTAAAATAAATCGAAGAAAAAATTTCATTAAATGTTTCTTACATCATTTTATTATTCAGTAAAACAGTAGACGTTTGAATAAGACAACATGAAAAGTTAAATTAATTCGTAGGTGACCCCGGTATGCAATCTCTTTATAGCTTTGAATACTCCATGATAATTTTTTATGAGCGAGAGTATAACCCTTTACAAATCTTACAAAAAAAAATACTACCGTTATGTATGATCGGAGATTCAATCCATTAAGATTAATATTCATGTTGAACTGCTTGTGGAAACTCAGGTTAATCATATTAACTGAATATTATTGTTTATTAATATATTAATTTAATATAAATATATATTATTTATTTTATAAGTGCGCAGTTTTGCACGATCTTTATTAATATTGAAATTTTACAAGAACATAAAATAAAATATAAAATTCAAAAATATCTATAAAATTAACCTAAATTACTTTATCAATATCTGATATATTAATTTAATATATATTAATATATACTATAATAAAAAAAGAATCTGTGTCACGGTAAAAAAAAATCCGTGTGATTTTATTAGTGTGAAAAAATCTCTTTTTTCTCAAAAAAACTCCTTTTAGCGATTCTTATAATACCAATGACCCATTATTTATTATATGGGAGGTGGTCAGTAGAAAAGGGGGAAATCCACTTTTTAGTCAAAATTTTCTTTATTGGTTCACTCTGCTGAATGATCATGTGAACAAAACTAGCTTAAAAACTAAAATTACTCAAAATTTGTAGATTTTCCCCTTTCTATTGATCGCCATCTATATACCTTATTTTACCTTATTATTATACTAATACTAATACAATTTTTTTTATATTAATCATCTCAATATATATTTTACAATTTTAAATCATTTATTTTCAATAATAGCTGTAATATAGCATAGGATACTTTCAACAAGGTTTATATATATATATTTTATCTAAGTTTTAATCATTCTTCTTGCAAAATCTACCGTAAATCATTTTTATTTTTTGGTAATGATTTATGTTTTCTGACTTTTCAATTCAATTCATCCCATAATTTTTTATAGAATTTAAATCTAAAGTTTATAATCTTATTTTTTACTTTCCATTTTTTTTACTGCTTTTTCTATGTAAATAAAACCATTATCTTCTTAAAAAATATAATTGTTTTTATTTCTAAATTATTTATAAATGGTAATAAATAATTTTTAATATGTTTAATATATTTGTTATATTTTACTTCCTGATTTGATCAATAAACCTAGTTTATTCTTAGTAAATAACTTCAAATCATTACACTTTGTTGACCTGATTTAAATATAAAACTAAAATATTTTAAATCATATTTTTTTTGAAAATTTCTTTAAATATATATTTTTCTATCTCTTTTAAATATCTTAAACTAAAGATTCATTACTTCAGCTAATACTTTTCATCTTTTCTAAAGATGGTCCCCATAATTATTTTCAAATTTCAATTGAGTTGCAACTTAATTGCACCATAAGGAAATTTAATTGCGCCACAAGTTGCAATTCAATTGTGCCATTTTTTTTAATTGCAGTGACCATCTTTAATCTTTTCTAATTTTTATTTATTTATTAGTTATATTTACAAAAGACTTTTATTCCAATTCTTTTAAAAAATTCTATTTTTATAAAATATTGTATAATAAATATAAAAATTTTATTTAAATTAATAAGATGGTTATGGAAAAAAAACTTGATTTAAAATTTTAATTTGATATTAAAAAATAATTAACATTACATATGATTAGTAACTCATTATATCATAACAATTTTCATAAATATAAAAGTAATTAATCTATTCTTTTAAAAAATATATTATTTAATATATTTAATAAATTTTTTAATAAAATAAAATATAATATAATTAAAATATTCAAAATTTGATATAGCTGATATTTTATATTAAAATATAAAAATTCTATATTAAATATATAGTAGTATATAAAAAATGGCAATTTTTAAAATTGTAATAGTTACAGTATGAGACAAAAAAAACCAGAATTTTTTTTGAGAAATAAAATGATGCAGATCTCAGCCAAATCAAGTCCGATCAGAACTATATAAAAAGGAAAATAATTGTAAGGTAAGTAAGTATATAATTTTTTTTTGTATTACTAAATATTAAAATTTAATTTTCATTTCCTTCTTCTATATCTTCAATTTTTTAAAAAAAACCTAAAATTCAATTAATTAGAAATGATAACCTTCAGATAAGAAACTAACCATCAAGCGATCTTACAATTATGGAATCAAGGTATTCAGAAGGCTAGGGAAATCTATCAATGTACTAGAATTTCTCTCACGACTATATACAATAACCTTACCAAGCTTCATGAGTCTGGGATAATTCAATGTGTAGAAGGAAGTGGTCGCCTAAAAAAGATTATGGCTAATGCATCAAGAGCATTAGCCCAATTTGTCTACCGGGATTCTTCTATTTCAACAAGGATCCTGTTAACGAGGTTGTCATTGAAAGGTATGGATGTATCCTATAGGACAGTAGGAAGGCATTTAGCCAAAATTGGATACCAAAAAGACCTTTCAAGAATAACGCCGATACTAATCGTAGACTATAAATGTAAACGGATAGAATGAGTCCAAAATCATCTTAATAATGATTGAGACAAAACTCTATTTTCAGATGAGACTGCCTTCTAACTGTTCTGGAATACTGTAGAGCGCTGACATAAAGGACAATGACTGATATGCCTTATGCCTAAAGATCGAATGAAAATCTTTGCATAGGGAGGATTTTGTGTTAAAAGAAAACAAGTTTATATTATTTTTCTCAAATAATGAATGCTGAATTTTATGTAAACATACTCCATAGTCACCTTTCAGAG